GATAGAGAGAGGTGGCCAAGACAATGAAGTAATCATCATCAATGTCTGGCTCTTACAGAATTCTGACCCTTTAAAAAGCTAAGGTCATTCTTCTAAGGTACCCTTGTGAGCCTGACATCTCACAAGGGACAGATCAGCCATGAACATTTGAGGGTATAGACACAGCTTAGCATCACTGCAAAAAGAGCTCAGATTTCAAATTCTACTTTTGTTAACTTAGATCATCACTTAAGAATGACAGTGACACATGGCACATGCCTGTAATCCCAGCCACTTGAAAGACTGAGGCAGAAGGATCACAAATTCAAGGCCAGCCTGGGTAACTTAGCAAGACCCTGCTTCAAAGTAAATAAATAAATAAATAATGCTGGGTATATAGCTCAGTGATAGAACACCCCTGGGTTCAATCCCCAGTAACTAACACACGCACATGAGCACACACACACATACACGCACGCACACACACACACACAAATGACAGTCTTGTTTTGCTATTAGATTGAAGCTAATCCTTGTGGGTAAGGTAGGTCACATCTCTTTTGACATTCTTTCACTGCAAAAACTACCTGTACCACATGGTTCTTGGAACAGCTCAGTTCATCCTGGAATCACCAAATAAATATACATTTATTGGAGGCATGGAAGAAAAAGTGCTATCTAAACTTAGATTGGTAACCATCATCTGCCCTTTCCCAGTTTTATCTCAAGAGTCTTGATAGAGTGGATAAATTATATCTGAAATATTCTCAGAATAATTGGGGTATTAAAGTTCCTATGGCAGAGCAGCCATTCGCATTCTGTACAAATCTACTAACTGACAGGAAGCAGCACACAGATGGAACAGTTACAGGCCCAGCTATGTCAGAAGGAGAGTCAGAAGAGCTCTTGTGTTTTACTATAAATGCTCTCACCATTCCCTCGCCAAAAAAAAAAAAAAAAAAAAAAAAATGCTGTTTCCATCATGCAACTATCATCATGCAACTATCATTCTCAAGAGCTCCCCAAGATAAAAGGATAAAGCTCAATGACTGCACTCCCTGATGGAAGCTGTCTGATCAGCAACTTGTTCATTCCCACCCCCACCTTGGCTTCTTTGCAGGAACCAGTCCACTGCCCACTCCTCAGTTTACCCAACCTTCAAAATCCACTTCCACTTGAGCCCTTTGAGAAATATCAATTATTATGTTGCTTGCAATTCATTTGTTCCTCAGCTCCTCTGATGCCTTCAGGTCTGATCCACCCCACCTAGCTGCCCAGTGCTGGACCATGGGCTGGTTTCAATGTGCCCTTTGTTGATATTCTAACTTAATAGGATGTGTCTTTTCTCTCCAGCCAGGTTGAAAGCTTTTAGAGGAAGAGTCTGGGATGGTCCTACAAATATATCATAAGCTGCCAATCAATAGTCTAGGAATAAATAAATATTAGAGTATCTGCTTTTGGTTTTGTGACTCTAGAGACTATGTTAGCTTCACTCATGAAAAGAGAAAATTCCTGCCAAGTTAGGCAAGTGTGAATTATACATACAAACACATAATCTTACATATTTATCTTACACATAAATGTGTGTATGTATATATTCATATGTATGTATATATTTGCATATACATATTGTCTTATAGTTCCCCCTACCCCTGCAAAGGGGGAGATGTAAGAAAAAAGGTACAAAGTTCAAAACAGGTAGGATGAACGCTTTAGATATCTAAGTACAATATGATGACTATAGTTATAATATTGTATACTGGAAATTTGCTTAGAGAATAAATTTTTATCTAAAGGAGAACTATTCAAGAAATGGCTATACTAATCAACTTGACTATAGTAATATTTCACTTTATATATCAAAACATCATGATATACACCATATATATACACAGCATATATATATGCTATACACCATATATATGTGTGTGTATATATACATATATATATAATTTTTTAAAAAAAATCTTATTATCCAATATAAGATACAGAAAATAAACACAGTGGTGACCTAAAAGTACCCTGACAGAACTACATTTGGAGGCAGCTCTAATTACAGGAGAAGAAAAATGTGCCTTGTGGCAAACCTGACATCCCCACCCAAGCCCCTCACAGCCCCTCCCTGCTTCTGAAAATGTCACTGTATGCTCTAGTCATACTCCTTAACAACACCAGGCAAGATCATTATCGTAGTTTTACAAGCCAATTTCTGAACAGCAGGTTTCTTTTCTGCAGGATGTTCCTGTGCCAATCACAGGATTTCCTATAATGAAGAAATGAGGAAACAGTGTAGAGGTGTGCTAGAGCTTTGTTTTGTTTTTGTTTTTTCATTCTGACTCCAATTACAGGAGGCTCTGGTCAGCAGAGAAACGCTGGCCTAGTCATAGCCTGGCACACTGGACAGATGCAGGTGTGTGGGGAGGGTTCAGGGTGGAGACCATCCAGTGTGTAGGAGAGGAATCCAGGGAGAGGGAGAAGGTGGGTGGCCAGGAGAAGCACCCACCAGTCCGGATGTGAAGCAGGAAGTGAAGCTTCCTTTTCTCATTGTCACCTGGACCTCTTCCCTGTACTTTTAGATTTTCACAGCCATACCTTTTAGCCAACTGGACATCCCTCCCTATAGTTTGAAGGAGTTTTCAGGACACCCAGAGGAGTCCTCAAACACAAGGTCCCAATTCAGCCATCCTTTCTCACTCTCTTCCCATCTTCCTAGAATGGTGCAAAGGGATAGAAAAAAAATCTGAGTAACTCTCTAAAGTAATAAAAATCATGTCATTTCTCTGACTTTATCTGTTTTCTGTTACTATAACAGAATACTTGAGACTGGGTAGTTTATAAAGAACAAAGGCCTATTTGGGCTCATGATCCTGGAAGCCTAAGGTTAAGAAGCTGCATCTGGTGAGGGCCTTTTTGCTGGTGGGGACTCTGCAGAGTCCTGAATTGATGCAAGGACATCACATGGTAAGAGGAGTATACCACAGAGACAAAGTTAAACTGGCTTTTATTACAGACCCACTCTCCAGATAACCCACTAATTCATTAATCATGAATGGATTAACCCATTCACAAGGGTACAATCCTTGTGACCTAATCACCTGTTAAAGGTTCCATCTAGTCCCACCTCTTAATAACTTAGAAGGGGATTAAATTTCAATGTCAGTTTTCATGGAGACATTCAAATCATAGCACTACCCTAAAGAAATCTTTTTCCTTTATATTCTTAATGCATTTTGAGTCTATACTATTTTGTCCCAAATGATTTTCTCTCTTGCATCATTTACCATTGTTTCCTTGCTAACTTTACCTCTTAAGCACAATTCCTAGAGGACAGAGAATGGCACGATTTCATACTATTTCTCCCCATCACCTACTGTATCCTAGTAGTTTCCAATACATTAATCAGCTTTCCATTTCTGTGAAAAAAATTCCTGAGACAACTTAAAAAGAGGAAAGATCTATTTTGGCTCATGGTTTCAAAGTTTCAGTATATGATTGGCTGGTTCCATTGCTTTTAGGACTGTAGCAAAGCAAAACATCATCAGAGAGAGCACATAATGGAGCAAACAGCAGCCAGAAAGAAAGAGAAAGGGGCCAAAGACAAAACATATCTATCAAGGGCACACTCCAACTCTTTCCTCCAACTAGACCCCACCTCCAAAAGTTTCTACTACCTCTGAACACTGTTACATTGGGGATCAAGCCTTTGACACTTGAGCTTTGGGAAGAAATTTCAGATCCAAATCATACCATTAGGTGAATGAACTGATTAATATGAGCTAGGTATTGCAGTATATATCGTGGCAGGATGTTCAATATTTGTCAATAAGAACAGTCATGGGAGGGTTAGGTATGTAGCTCAATGACAGAGCACTTACCTAGCATGCATGAAGCCCTGGTTCAGTTTCCAGTGATCCTCCTGAGACTCAGCCTTCCCAGTTGCTGAGTCTATACAGGCATGTGCCACCATGCCCTGCTCTCTTTCCTTTGAAGAGCATTTCACCCAGAAAAGACAGGATAAAACACAGAGCTCCCCAAAAGTCCACTTTGCTCAAGTCTGGATTAGAATGTAATGTCTCCTCCAAGTCTAAAAACTCTCTGTGAAGTGTATCCCTACCTGAGTCGTCTTAGCTCTTAAGATTTAATGACTGGTGTCATTAAATAGTGTCATCCCTGCTCCACAGTAGAAGGACTTCAGACATCAAAGGTCGGCAGGGTCTAAGGAGCGGAGGACGAGCGCGCAGCACTGTGGACAACTCAGAGATCTCCATAGAGGTGTACAGGAGGTGTCATCTGAGTTTCGACAACAGCGTGAGCTCCATACCCTCCAAGCTTTTCTTCCCATTCTCAACTTCCAAATTTGTTTCAAAATTCCAAATTCTCTTCTGTATCCTGCAAAATAATTCAGTTACTCTTCAGTATTTCTCTCCGTTACTCCGAATTCGCTCAGAGACCCGCATTTGCTGATCTAAATCCCCTCTCTTGGTAACCAATTGCGACACTTTCTTACCGCAGAGAATTGCAATTCTCCCCACTCCATTTACAGATTTTTATAAATTCCTTTATTGGTAAATAAATTACATTTTTAAAATAAAATTGGATATGCGTTTTCACTGAAGCTCGGACAGTGAGTGTGGGCGCCCAGAGCTTGTCAGAGGCAATCGCGCTTGAAGGAGCACAGGCTCTCCCCAGGCACCCGGGCTACGCACTCCAGCTGCTCTAGCGGCTCCACCCGCAGAGCACCAAGGTCGCTGGACCCATGCCGGGAGACCCTGTAACCCCCCAACCCGAGAATATGGGAGGACCACACCCCAGACCTTGTGGATCCCTCCTACTTCCCCCGGCTGCGCGCCCTCTGGTTTCCCGCCCTGGGGACGTCCCCCAGCCAGGTGAGTTGCGTTTCAGTTGGTACGTGGGCGGGGCGGGCAGCCTTTAATAGGACGCTCACCCAGACAGCTGCGGGTGATTTGCGGGAGGGTGCGGGCGGGATTTTCTCTGCCTGGGTTATCGGCACCACCAGCACAGCCACGGCCGTCACCGTTCCGGAACCCCGGCTTGTGCACCGCCACGCGGAGACTACCAACATTCCACAGCGGGATTGGCCCCCAGCCTCACCACCCGACCCTATCCCATCCCAGCCGCTGGACCCGCTCTTGTGCACCTGCGCCCCACAGGCGGGGACCCGACTCCCAGCCTGTGCACTGCGGCGTTGAACACCGCTGCCTCAACGCCAGACCGTCGGACACAGGCCCTACGCACCACTGAGCGGTGCAAGACCCATCACACTGACCGCCGCGACCCCTGCCCCGCTGCGGGTCCCTTCCCACCCCCCGGCTTTTTGCACCATTGCCCCACCACCAGACCCGACTCCCAGTCTCTGCCACCACCAGGGCCGCCTGACCCGACCCCAGGTCTTGAGCACCACTGCAACCACCGCAGCTTGCTGGCATCCAGCGCCCTCCGGTCCATTCTCCGGCACCACCGCCAGCCACAACATGCGCCAGGTACGTGCAGGCTCAGCCCCTGGTGGGGATCAGATCCAACCTACAGGAAGAGCGCAAAGGGCAAGAAAAAGAAATGCCCTGTATGCAGATCTCTCTTCTAACCACCAAGCCCCCGTATGGCATTCCTAAACTGGTTGGGTAATGAAAAGAGTCCAGATGTGTAGGGAGGAGATCTTAGGGGTCCTAGGCTAGCTCCACAGCACCTTTTCTAGGGTTTCTTATTCAAAGATTGTACTGGGCTAGGATTAGGTGGATGCTGGTGTGATGGTATGAAAAGCCTGTCAATAAACCCATCCTGCTGGGGACTGAGGGTAGTAAGCTAAGTAGGCACCTCCTCTCCAAGAAACAGGGGGCTGCGCAGGTATAACCTGTGAGAACAAGGTCCTAGGAAGCCCTGTGATTTACTTCCCGCCCCAGAGAGGGTTCCCTAGAGGAGATGCGGGCTCGTTTGTGCCAATCCAGCCTTGCCCAGAGAGGAAGGAGAGGACTCTTGGGAGGTGGGGGAGGGCCACTCTCCACAGTCTTGTTCCTCTGTGTCCCCTCCAGTGAGGATGAAGAGGCTGGTAGGTTTCTTACTCTATGCAGGTCCTGAACCACAGGAAAGCAAACAGAACCTCTTCAGAAAACCCAGTAGGGGCCTATATTACACTTTTGCTTCTCTTTCAGAAAAAACTAGAAATTTACTCTGTGGAGCTCAATGGAACTAAAGACATTACACAGACTGACCAGGGGGATGACAAGGAGAAGTACAAAGGCCTGAAGAACGACCACTTGGAACTCAAAAAGAGTCATCAAAAAGAGGGGCTTAAAAAAGAACTTGATCTGGTCAGTAGCAGTAACCTTGAGGCAAAGAGGTCCTGCTGTCCCTCCTCCTGAGAGTTTTCTATAACCTTTCTCTTGAGAGAGAAAAATCTGTCTCAAGGATTTGGAATCCTCTTAAGACTTGTTACCTTGTTATCTTTTTTTTTAATGGTATGATAATATCTGTCCTGGTCAGTCCCTCTGCAGGATTCCTGTGTTCTGGTTGGAGGCAGTCTGGTAAACAGCAGGGGGAAATTTTCAGATTCCAAGCCCCACAGGCATAGCCCAGACCTTTCTCCTTTTCAGTTGTTTTAATGAGATATAAATAGCCACTTGTCAGTTTTCAGTTGATAAAGAAAACCATTTGAGTTGAAACCCCCAAGAGGAAAACCAAAGCCACTGGGCCTTGCTAGGTTTGGGGTATGTGTGCCCATGAGAAAGAATAGTTCCAGTAGGAATGTTGGATTTAGATTCCCTGAATCCAAGCTCAATCTAAGTCTCAATTCTCTACCACCTTAACTGTAACTGGAAGAAAATAAGCTAGCTTTGCTGAAGTTTCATTTTCTTTACATAAAGGGGGAAACAGTTTGCAAAGTCTATACATGGATATGAGAATTTTGTAATTAAAGTGCTTTATAGGAGTGTAATATTATTATAGAAGAACTTTGGAGTTATTGAAGCTGGCAGCTTTAATTAAGAGTTGCCTTGGAGCTTAAATGTGACCGATTTTATCTCACAAATGCCAAAGGCAAAACTTCCACAGGGAGCTTGAGATTTTGTTAGATTGCTTGTACAGTCCATTGCAGACTTTAAAGCTCTATGATCTTTGAGCAACTACGGGACTGATGCAGCTAGCTCATTCAAGGCTAGGTAGCTGGTTATTTAACATTCAGGAACTTGTCAGGTAACAAGTTGACTGAGGTCACAGTAGCAGCTTGAAATCTGGCTCTGAAGAGGAATCGGCCAATTCCACAAATCAGAGCTATTTGTTTATCTTTCCTGAAGAGCTTGTTAAGCATTTAGTATCACACTTCTAGACATTGGTTCATATATATTCTGACAGACGTTTAAGAACACAGCCCTGAAGTTGAGTGCAGTGGCACATGTCTGTAATCCCAGATACTTGGGAGGCTGAAGCAGGAGGTTTACCAGTTAGGGCAACTTGACAAGACCCTGTCTCAAATAAATTTAAAAGGGCTAGAGATGTAGCTCAATCATAGAGTGATTGCCCTGGGTTCAATCCCTAGTAACACAAAAAAAAAGAAAGAAAAAGAAAATAAAGGAAGAAAAGCAAAAACAGCTCTGAGATTGGTCTGACCTGAATTCAATAAAATCCCAGTTTCCAAATTTTGCAAAGAAAGAATTTTAAAATGACTGGTGCCTACCTTTTAGAGATGTTCAGATGGTTAAATGAGATAAGGCAAGAAAAATAACAATATCAAAGAATAGTAATTATTTCCTGTGTATCTCTAGCATATATATACCATTTATATATATATATATATATATATATATATATATATATTTATATATACACACCATTCTTTCTTAAAATTGCTACTTATATGAATGATGAAAATACATCCATTCTCTCCATATGCCTGTTGATTGTGATGTGACTCCTTTCTTTGAGCAATCTATGAAGATGGATAATACTGTATAGAAAAATCATTTCCAGGCTATTAGCCAGAGTGTTTCTCTGCTTTCCTGCTGAAAAGCTGAAAAAGGAATATCTAGCTTTCTTCTTTTTTCTCAGGCTTCTCAAAAGACTCCTATAATTTGTAACAGTATGCTTAAATGCTTTGACACCCCGACCTGTATGCAAATTAGAGCCCTGATAACTAAATTTTCTCTGACCTCTGAATGAATAATAATCTGCCAGTACTAGCCAGAAGAGAGTGCACCAGACACCCACCACATCACCCCCAACCTTCCCCCATGCTCTCTTTCAGGCTGGAAGGAGAGTGAAGCTAATAGTACTCTGGTTTAAAGTCAGGCCCATTCATGCAAATGGTGGCTCTGATCTGCCTTAACTTAGCAGTACTTCACTATGCACAGAACTCTGCTTAACCCTCTGAAACCCCAGCAACAACCATTTGATTGATACTGGTAAGAATGGATAAATGAGCAAAACAGAATCTGACTGAGATGAAGGTTATAATAATAAGTTATCTTTTACTGGAAGGCATAATTTCTTATTGCAACATGGAACTTTTTTGCATATTTAAGAAACCAGGTGCAATGGTTCATGCCTGTGGTTCATGCCGATGGCTCATGCCTGTAATCCCAGCTACTCAGGACACTGAGGCAGGCAGGAGGATCACAAGTTCAAGACTGGCCTGGGAAACCTAGCAAGACCCAGTCTGAAAAATAAAAAGAGAGAGAGAGAGAAGTAAAAAGGGCTGTGGATGTAGTTCAATGATAGAGTACCTCTCTGGGTTCAATCCCCAATACCAAAGAAAAGAAAGGGAGGAAGGAAGGAAGGAAGGCAGGCAGGCAGGCAGGCAGGGACATGGTACCAGTCACAGGATAAATCTATTTCACTCAGGGCTTAAAGAATCCTGGGTGGCCAGGCGTGGAGGATCCTGTAATCCCAGTAACTCTGGCAGCTAAGGTAGAAAGATTGCAAGTTAGAAGCCAGCCTCAGTAATTTAGCAAGACCCTATCTCAAAATAAAAAATGAAAAGGCTAGGGATGTTGCCTAGTGGTAAAGCACCTCTGGGTTCAATTCCCATCCTAGGAGATGGGGAGAGTAGGGATTCCTGGGTGCTGAGCTTTCTAGGGGGATAAGGAAGTGTTACCTCTGGGTTTTCTGTTACAGAAAGACTTTTCTAGTCTCAGTGGTTCTCAAAGGGAGAGGAGGGAGGAGTCCCTCTGTCCCATTTGGGACACATTTAACAATGTCCTGGTATATCTTTTGTTATTACAACTCAGCAGGAGGGTGTTGGTGGGTGGAGGGCCCACAACAAAGAATTATTAGCCCAAAATGTCAGTAGTGCCAAGAATGAGAAATGATTCTATGGCAAAATTTGCAAGTGTGGGCCATACTGGCATTTGTTTACTGGTAGATTTTTAATTCATGGAGCTTCCAACCAGCGGACTCCTTGAAAAGTTTGCTTCTTTCTGACAAAGATCCCCAATGAGTAGAGAGGACCTGTCCAAACACAGGAAGTGTGTCGGCTTTGGGTGTGCCCAACACCCTCAGCCAGTCCCAGCATCCAGGTTTGAATGAATTATCTAGCTAGATATACTAACACATGCTAGAGACCAGATTGAAGTGGTAGGCATTTCTTCCTTTATAAAAACTAAAAAATAACTTCTAGGTGTCAATGGCAAGTGCAGTCTGAACTCTCAAGAAGGCTGAGACTAAGAAGGACAAGATTCTCTGCAGCAGCAGCACTTTCCATTGCTGGATAGCCACTAGCACCAGGGCCCTTTCTCCCTTTTTCCCCAAACTACATTTTTCTGGTCCACTTCCTCTCAGTTTTCAAGGTTGGGGGTTCATCTTTTGGAATGACCTAATTCACTCTATTTTCCTTCCTTTCATGAACTTCAGGATGACCACAAACTCAATGATAAAGAATTGGAACAGAAATATGGTACAAACATCAGCAGGGTAAGTCACCAGGAAAATGGTGGGGGGCAGGTCAGAAAGAGAAACCTCCTGACCATTTAAGGTGGTGTGCTCAAGGTACATGGAAAAGTGGAGGCACTTTTAGGATGGGTGACCTACAGCCACACCTATGAGACTTCCCATCATTCACATGTCTGGACCCTGAGATTGGGATGGTTATCTTCTGGGAGCTGATGTGCCTGACCAAGGTTCAGGCTGAGCTCCTTCACTGAGATGCCTGGGTATAGATAGTTCTTTTTGGTATCCCCAGAAGGGTGTACACATGCTTCCTCATGGTCATGGCCATAGATTGTTTTTAATCCATGCCTCCAGGAAGTATAATGGTGCATTAGGGCTCTTCTTATAAGAGACTAAGGAAGCTCGTGTCACAAAGTGAGAAACCAAATTAACCCTCTGAGAGCCCTATCTGCTTTCTCTGAGAAGGAACAAAGTCTCCAAGCACACTAACATCTTATAAACTCCTTCAGCATCTATAAACTTCAGCATCTTATAAACTCCCCTACCACAAAAGGAATGTTTCCTTCTGTGAATTCAAATCCAAGTTCAATTTCAAAAGTCTGGGTGTTTTGTCAGGCATGGTGGTATACGCTCTTAAACCCAGCAACTCAGGAGGCTGAGGCAGGAGGCTCGCAAGTTCATGGCCAGCCTCAGCAAAGCAATTTAGCAAGGCCCTAAGCAACTTAGCAAGATGCTGACTCAAAATAAAAAGGGCCAAGGATGTGACTCAGTGGTTGAGCATCCCTGGGTTTAATCTCCAGTACCAAAAAACCAAACAAAATGAAACAAAGTTTGGGTGTCTCAATGTAAGAAAATACAGATAATATCCATCTGGTATTTTTAACTCACAAAAATACTTACTGTGTGGTTCACACTGGGTTGTCAGCAGGCAGGACAAAGAAGGACAGGTCACCTCTCACCTTAAAGAGGCAGATGCATAGGTATATGTAATATCCACTTTATGCCTCCTGGGTGTCACAAGAGAGGTTGAATCTATACATTAAGAGAGAGGATTCTGGCCAGAGTTACCAGAGTAGTGTTTGAATTGGGACTAAGGAGGACAATTTAGATATACAGAGTACCCGGGAGCCGAAAAGGACATTGTGGGTTTGGAGAACAATCTGGGATTTCTGTGAGCTAGTTAGTATATTTGGAAAGCCAGGAAGAGAGGTAGAGAAGAGGCTGGGGAATGTCATTTAGGTGAAACTGCCAAGCTCTTTCATATTAACTCATTAATTCTCAAGTGTTCAATTCTGCAATATTTCAATGAAATTGACACAGGTGTATTAAAATAGGTTGTAAAACATAATCTAGAGTTTATTATATAATTTATTATCATTAGTAATATTAGTGATAATCACTAATAATGTTTATCACTAATCTTTCACCTATTGTTTTCCTCAAACTATCACTCATAAATATTTATTTCAAAGTTCTATAAGTAATATATTTGTGGCTCAGTTTTTTAGGTGTTCCTTAAATAGGACAACGGGACATAATGGGGCAAACTGAGGAACAGGAGCTATATTGTATAAGTAGGTGGGCACAATTTCTAAGATTGGTTTTCAAAAGGCAGTTCTGGTAGAAGACTTTTTTTTTTTAAAGTGAGAGATGGAAAGGTCCAGAAAAAAGGATTGAGAAGCCAGGATCAAGAAATAAGGATTTGAAAACTGGAAGCCCAGGAAGATGGGGAAGAAAGAGACAAGGAAATTACCAGCAGCATTTGGTAGGAGGGGAGTTTGAATGAATCCCTAATCCCATTAGCCTAGTTAGAGAAGCAGAAGGAGAAGGGAACTTGATCAGGTGGTATTCTGTAGCAGGCGGATGAAGGTGAGCAAATACAGAAGGTAATAGAGAGGAGATGATGATGAATTTTTATTTTGAATCAATTGCCCCTTATTATCCATAGGGGAATGGTTCCAGGATTCCCCAAGGATTCCAGAAACCATGTATGCTGAAGTTCTTCTATAAAATGATATAATATTTACATATAGCTTTCACACACCCTCCCATATACTTTAAATCATCTCTAGATGACTACAATATCAGATTCATTGTAAAATCTAGGTAAATAGTTGTTGTGCTATATTGTTTAGGGAATAATTACAAGAAAAAAAGTCTGTACATATTCAGTTTTGATGCAACCATCATAGACTTAACTACACTTTTTGTTTGTTCTGGTACTAGGGATTGCACCCAAGGGATTTACCAGTGAACTATATTCCCAATTCTTTTTTATTTTTAATTCTGTGGCAGGTTCTCACTAAATTGCTGAGGCTGACCTCAAAACTTGAGGTCCTCCTGCCTCAACTTCCTGAGTTATTAAAATTGTAATCACAGACATGTACCACCACATCTAGCCTTAACTACATTTTTGATATGCAGTTGGTGAAGTTTATGGATGCAGAGGCAAACTGTACTATCAGAAATGTCTCTGAAACAGCCCTGTGGAAATGTTCAATTATTGAGAATGATGAAGATTCTGAGATTCTGAAAAAGGAATTGAAAACAGAGGGTGATAGTATCAAGTTGGTGACTTGGAATTGAGTTATTCAAAAAAGATTTGAGTTGCTAAAACTGAAAAAGCATTAGACACTAGAACACACTAAAAAAATGATTAAAGACCTTGCCTTTAATTAGTTCTCAACACAACTGTGGAGAAAAGATATATTCTTCTTGGGGGAAAGGCTATGAAAGTGTAGGATTTCAGGGTAGTGTGCCTCTGCACACCCTTGGATGTCACACTTACCAGGGAAGGAACTGCTCACGTGGCCCTCAGAGTCAGGTAGTATTTATAACTATTATAATGAACCAGAACTTGCAACTTAAAAGAGTGAGTATATACAAAAGTAGGAAAATAACAGTCTAAGGATAAAAACCTACCTTATGTGATATATGGAATGGATATTTTCTGGATGGTTATATTGTTTGGGGGCTTTTTTTTGTTTTTGTTTGATACCAGGAATTGGACCCAGGGGCACTGAACCATATCTCCAGCTCTTTTTAATTTTTATTTTGAGACAGGTTCTCACTAAGTTGCTAAGGGCCTAACTAAATTGCTAAAGCTGGCCTCAAACTTGTGATCCTCCTGCCCCAGAGTGGCTGGGATTACAGGCTTGTGCCAACATGCCCTAATGACTAGCTTCAAATTCTCCTCAGCCAAATTACTCCCATCTCTGGCTAAATCTCTCAGAAATGAAATTCCTAAGCATAGCTTCATGTAGCAGCTCTGGAGCCAGTGACCTAGCTGAATCCTGGTGTCCTTGTTTACCGGTCAGGTGACCTTGGGTAGGTTACATATACTCTCTGTGCCTCAAATTCCATATCTGTGAATGAAGGTAATGATAGTACCTTCCTCAGAGGGTTATTCTAGAGAATAAATATATGGGGAGCACTGCTTGATTGATAATGATTATTAAATATTCTTTCAAAGAAGGCAGGTAGAGGAAATGGGGAGAGGTTACCCAAAGGGAACTAAGTTACAGTTAGATAGGAGTAAGGAGTTCTGGTGTACCATTGTACAGTGAGGTGACTATAGATAATGGTAATGTAATATATATTTCAAAAAGCTATGAGAGAAGATTTTGGAAGTTTTTACCATAAGAAAATGATAAGTAGTCAGTTCCGGCAGAGAGCGTGGTGAGAAACGGGAGTGCGGCCTGCTCCCCCGGCCCCTCTGGGACCCCCGGCCCCAGGCCGGCGGGTGCGCTGGGGGGCCCAAGGACAGGACGCGGCCTCTCCTGCAGATCCCTGGAGCTCCTGCTGCGAGTGCCCACTGGCTGGCCCTGGCTGTGAAGGACCAGTGAACCTGCCACCCAGATGGATGACCTGATGGCGGCGGCGACCTGTCGGGCCCCGGACCCCGAGGGCTGCCGGGTCTCCTGGCTCAATCGTGCCCGTCCCAGCTGAAGCCGCCACCTGGGACGTGGCGCCTTTGGGTGGCAGCGGGCGTGGCATGGCGAGAATGGCGGCCGCCCAAACGCCGCGGAGGCCGGCAGGGGCTTCAAGGTCCCAAGAAGGAGGATGGACGCCTGAAAGCTCGACCACGCATTGGACAGCGGAGCCGCACAGACCAGGGCTCTCCGTGAGCGCTCAGTGCCGGCTCCTCGAGACCGCACCTTGTCTGGGCCAACAAAGACCGGAACCGTCCTGGAAGGTGAGCGAAGCCCCGGAAGACGACGACGGGTGGAACGGTTAGCGGCCTCGGGCGGTTGGTGTTCCTTCCACCAAAGAGAGAAATGGTAGTCACAAGCCGCATCTACCCAGTTGGAAACGCCTGCCACCCTTTGGGGAGATTTCCTGGCCCTTTGTAAAAGGCCTGTGTATATAATATGAAAAAGCTGCTCTGAACTTGCCCCCCAACCTTTTAAAACTTGTGCTGCATCTGGACATTCTAAATGTAAAGAGGATGCCTGACGCATGATAGAGTTAGAAAATAACGTCTTGTAAATGTCCGTTTGTTTGAAAAAATCAGAAATGTTTTCTGGAAGTGACTTTGAAATGAATTTGTTAGACCACCTCTAGGAGCGACACTTGTCCACGTTTGTTCAGTGGGTTGTTGGACATGGAGAAGACTGAACGTGAGAAGGAGGTCCTGTGCCAGACTGGTTTTACGTAAAAGACATTTTTCATATAATAACCATTGTTTTGCGTGTGCATTTTATTACTCATTAGTGTATATATAGTTGAAAATGCTAAATATTTTTTTTAAATATCTAGGTTTTCTAGATGTTCTAAAGTGCCTGATATATGTTAAAAGTAGAAGTGGTAAAATATATGACACATTTTGTAAATTTATTTTGTTAAAATTCTTATGAAATGGTTTCTTTTTTTTGGGGGGGGTGCAATAGCCAAACCCCTGTTGAATAGTACAGTTGTGTGCTGGTCCTGGGGAGCACCGTGCCAGTGTGCTTACCGAGAGCCAAGAGTTGTCTGGGTTTTGTTTTACTTTGCTGTGTACATAGTGTATATAAAGGACAAATGAGTCCTCCTAATCTACATCTAGCCTTTCTAGATGTTAAAGAGGTTGCCAGTGTATGACAAAAGTAGAATTAGTAAACCAGTTTTGAATATTTTGTGTTAAAATTCCTAGGAAAGATTGTCTTCTGAAAATTTTGAGCATTATAGCCCACTGGGTCGGTGAAGGGCCAGAATGCTCATATTTTGAAGACATTTTCAATTAGAACTATTGTTACATGTGTGCAGTGTATTCAAGACTGTCATGTACATAGTGGACAAATTGAGTCCTTACTTGAAACATCTAGTCTTGTCTAGATGTTTAGAAGTGCCCGATGTATGTTAAACGTAGAGGTAGTAAAATATCACTTTGTAAATATCTTTTTGCTAAAATTCATATGAAATAGTCTTTTGGGAATGGAACTATTAAACCACCTCTGTGAGCGGTATACTACTGTCTGTATTTGCTCAGTGATGTGGAGGAGGTGGGAGGGAAGCAATTGCAAAAGGTTAGTGTGTTCATATTTGGACATTTTCAGACATCAGTTTTCTATGTTTTGTGCATTTTGTTTTTGCTGTGTATATAGTGTATATAATGGACAAATAAGTCCCAATTTTGTAACATCTAGTCTCTAGATGTTAAAGAGGTTGCCAGTGTATGACCAAGTAGTTAGTAAAATTAGAACATTTTGTACATTTTTTTGTTGAAATTCATAGGAAAGCTTGTCCTCTGTAAAAAGACTTTTGGATATGGATTTGTTCGACCATCTCTAAGTGTTACATATGCCTGTACTTGTCCACTGGACTGAAAATAGAAGGAAATGAGGAGGGAGAGGTTCAAGGACAAATGGTCATATTAGAAGATACCTCATATTTAACCATTGCTAAGCGTGCAATTTTATTTACCAGTGCTGTGTGAATAGTGGACAGGGTCTTATGTGGAATATCTAGTCCTTCTATATATTTAGAAGTGCTTGATATATTTAAAAGTAAAAGTAGTAGAATTGAAACTTTTTGTAAATAGCTTTTAAAAACTGATGAGAAATTTTGTGTTTGGAATTGTTAAACCACCTCTTAACAGAATACTGTCTGTTGTACTTGTTGATTGGGTTGAGGGAGGTGGGAGGGAAGAAGTTGCAAAAGGTGTTTAACATTGTTAGAGTGTGCTAGAAAACTTCAGCTTACCCACTGCCTTCTACCGTGCATTTCATTTAACTTTGCTGTACTGTATATATTGTATATATATTGGACAAAGGAGTCCTAATTTTATAATATCTAGTCTCTAGATATTAAAGAGGTTGCCAATGTATGACAAAAGTAGAGTTAGTAAACTCACACACTTTGTGTTAAAATTCATAGAAAGGCAGTCTTCTGAAAATGACTTTTGGAAATGAAATTGTAACATCATATCATGTGACACTCAGATGTGACACATGTGACAAAAGGAGAAAGAAGTAGAAGAAATGAAGGATTCTAGGCCAGAATGATCCCACTTAGAAGACACTTTCAGATATAACCATTGTTACATGTGTGTAGTTTATTTAACACTACTATGTACATAGTGGACAAACTTAAGTCCTTATTTGAAACATCTAGTCTTTCTAGATGTTTAGAAGTGCACAAAGTATGTTAAAAGTAGAGGTAGTAAATAAAACATTTTGTTATATATCTTTTTTTAAAATTCATGAGGAAATAACTGTCTTTTGGAAATGGAATGATCAAAACACTTCTCTGAACAGTACATACTATATCTGTGCTGGTTCAGGGAGGAAGAAGGAAAAGAAAATATAAAGGGCTTTATACCAGTGTATTTTCTGTGAAGCAGAATTGACCATTGTCCCTTATATTTGTGGGTTTTGTTTTACTATTCTGTGTAAATAGTGTATATAAAGGACAAATGAGTCCTAATTTACATCTAGTCTATCTAGATGCTAAAGAGGTTGCCAGTGTATGACAAAAGTAGAGTTAGTAAACACACCGAGTACATGTTGTTATATTCATAGGAAAGACTATAATTAAAACCAGTTAGAAAGTGAAATTTGTTAAAAGTCATCTCTAAGCATTACAGATGCATATACTGACCCATTGGTTGATAAGACTAGAAGGGGAAGGGGTCTAGGCCAGAATGTTACTGTTTGGAAGACACTTTCAAATTCTAGCCTTTAAAAAAAGGGGTGGGGGGGAGTTTTGCTTGAAAGTATAGCCTTTGTTAAGTAAGTGTTGCAGTTTGTTCAGTGCTACTGTATGTAGAGTTGGAAACTTAAGTCCTTGTTGGGAACATCTAGTGTTTCTAGATGTTGAAAAGTGCACAACACATGGGAAAAGTAGAGAGCTAAAGTAATGCCCTTTAAGTATGTTTTGTTGCTACTTAGGAATGGTTGCCATTTAGGGGAATGGAATTGTTGAACTTGATGTCTTGGAGGGTAGGTTGAAGGTTCACTGGGTCAGGGGTAGGGGAAGGAGAAAGTATGTATAGAGAAGCAATGGGTGCCCTTTAGATTAGTTCAGATTGTCTAGCCATTGTTATATGTGCATTTTAGTTAATATTGCTGGGTATTAAAGGATAAGTCCTAATGCCCAAAGTTTGTTAACAATAGCAAAATAATCCCTATATAAATGTCCTTTTGTTAGTTTTTAGAAAGAACTGTCTTCTGAGAGTGACCCTTGTTAATCCAGCTCTTGGAGCTAGGGATAGTCCTGAATTTAGTCACTGGAGTGGTGAAGAGGGAGAAGAGGAAGGGGGAGGGGAAGTGCTCTTTGCTAAAGTCTCCATATTTGGAAGACAGGTTTAGATTATAACCATATATCTATATGTACATTTTTGGTAAATTGTGTTTTTGTGCACAAAGTTCATACTTCATTTCACAATATCTAAGCTTTCTAGATGCTTGAGGTGACAGTGAATCATAAAAAGTAGTGCTAGTGAATTAGCCAACTTGTAAATATCTTTTTGTTATAATTGATAGAAAAGATGCATCTTGGACATGGAATTGTTTTATCTGTGGCCATTGTGTATCAGGACTTGTTCATTAGGCTGGCAGCAGAGGGGCACAGGGAAACACAGAAAGATGGAAGCAAGTGCTCAAAGATTTACATTTTGATGTAAGCCACTGGTGTGTGTGCATCTTCTGGCTGTACTATAGGAATATTTTAATTCACTGGGAACATGCATTATTGCTAATATTTTAGTAGTAGAAATCTGTTAATGAAACAAGCTTGGTGTATTCTGTTGCTGTTTCATTTTAAATTGAGCATTAAGGGAATGAATTGTTTTAGTTGTAACTCTGCCAATATGTCTATCTAGAGGCCTGTTGCCATTTCTGTCTTCAGTGAAATTTTTGTCCCCAAGAAAGGATAACAGATTGAGTTGGTGTAGTGTATTCTTGGTTATCAAAAAATACTCATGTAGCTTCGGGATTTTGAATTGGTGAATATTCATGATGTGTGGAAAAGCACACACCACAATCTCAATCACACAAAATGGGATATTGTGTATATATGCATACAACCTAGAGGGACACGTCCAACTAAGCTTCTTGTGACTGGATGACTTTGTTCTTTGCTTGTGTGTGTGTGTGTGTGTGTGTGTGTGTTTTCCTGTAATGTACAATTTACTTTTAAAAAATAAAAATTATTTTAAAAACCAAAAAAAAAAAAAAAAGGAAAATGATAAGTGAGATATATATGCTTAAACATTATATCATGTATACAGGTATCAAAATATCACATGGCACACCATTAGTAAAATAATAATAATTTTTTGGACAAAGTGGGGAGTTGAAAAGATGAGGCATCAGCTTCATCTGCTTTTCCCAAGGCCTTCTTGGGCATGTTGATACCTAAACACAACCTGCAGATATAGAAAGCCCACCCTCTGAGGGAGGAGAAATGTCTAATTTCTGTGTTTCTGAATCTGTTTTTCTTGACTTTTTTAGGGTCTCTCCAGCATCAGAGCTGCTGAGCTTCTGGCTCGGGATGGACTCAATGCCCTCACCCCTCCCAAGCAGACTCCAGAGATTATCAAGTTTCTCAAGCAGATGGTGGGGGGCTTCTCCATCCTGCTATGGATAGGAGCCATCCTGTGCTGGATTGCATATGGAATTCAGTATGCCAGTGATAATTCTGGATCCCTAGACAATGTAAGCCACCTTCCTGGTTTTGCTTAGCAACAGGGAGGAACATAGTCAGACCCAATAGGTACAAAGGGGGCTAGAGGCAGGAATTCTCCCAGCTGTAAAACAATAGATATCTGAACTACTACTACTTCTTCTTTTCTTTCTTTCTTTTTTTTTTTTTTGTGTGTGTGTGCATGCACACATGCGCACATGTGGTGCTAGGGATTGAACCCAAGGCTACATGCATCCTTGGCAAGTGCTGTACCACTTAGCTACCCATGTAAGCTATACCTATCCCTGGATACCTGAGTTTTTCATATCTCAGAGGCAGTATGAGCATGAGTTTTAAAAGAGACAAAACACCCGAGTTTCTAAGGGAAAAACATATCTTTATACCCATGAAATATTTTGGAGCTCTCTTTCCTCAAAGCTAATTTTGCCCTTTACCATGGGGGCAGTTATGCCTACTAAGAACTGAGTGCCATACCCTCAAAACTGAATCTTCTGATACCATGCTAAAGAAGGAAGCCAAACATTGTATGAGGCCACTGATATGAAATATCCAGATATGCACGTCCCTGGGGACGGGGGCACGTCAGTTGCCAGAACTAGTGATGGGAACCAGGTGTGATTATTGAAGGGTATGATGGACAACAAGTGTTTCCAATTTCAAATTTTAGGGGATTTTGGAATATCTGCATATACATAATGAGATGTCTTTGGGGTAGTGCCCAAGTGTAAACACAAAATTTGTTTCATGTTCATTTATATATATTTACTTGGCCTGAAGGTAATTTTTTGCAATGTTTTTAGTGTGCGTCTATTGTGACTATGACCCATCCCATGAGGTTGAGTATGGAATTTATCACTTTGGTGTCTTTGGTGCTCAAAACGTTTAGATTTTGGAACATTCCAGATTTTGGATTTTCAGATTAGGAATGTTCACCTGGTACCTGTTTCTCTTGACTGCTGTCTCTTCTCATGCAGGTGTACTTGGGCTCTGTACTTGCACTAGTTGTTATTTTAACGGGGATCTTTGCTTATTACCAAGAGGCCAAAAGTACCAACATCATGGCCAGCTTCAGTAAGATGATTCCCCAGGTGAGTAGCAACTACCCTCCTCTGGTCCTCTTGTGATTTCCAGGTGAATAGGTAGGCAGCCTTTGTCCTATCCTGTTTTCTGGGGATTCTTGGTTGGGCTACCTCTCTCTCTGAACCCCAGTTCCTCACAGGGTTTTGACACTGTCAAGTGAAGAGAGATCCAAGAAATGTTTAGTCAAGGGAAAAGCAGGACAGTCATTGCACAACATCCTCTACACCATTTAGAATGTCGTTCAGGGGGTTCCAGAATTTTCCTTCATTGGCAGCTAAGGAGATCCACCTGTGCATCTCTTGTGACTGCTTTCACTTTCAAAGCATGTTGCCCCAAAATGCTCTTATTCCTCCAGCAACTTATGTTAGGTGTCCACAGCAGGGAAACCTGGCCTAGGTCCAGAGAATTGTCAAGTGAAGGAAAAAAATCTGAAGTAAAAGATGTTCCTGCTGTGCTAAAAAACAGGATACCACCTCATTAAAGTCCTCCCCACTTCAGCAAGGTTATTAAACCTTTCAACTCAGTTTTCATCCTTGATGCCTTGCCAGGTGGCTCACCTTTGATCTACTTTCTTTCTGTGAGGCCCAGCTCCCACTTTGCCATGTTGCCAAATAACTGCTTTTCCTGCTTTCAATAACAGAGCTCAATTTAAAAATAGTTCTTAGGATCTTCAGACCTTAGGTGACATAGTCTTCAGTTTCATCTGTGCATTCTGACAGTTAATGGGTTCCATGCCCCTGTCCTGGGATTCAGTGAAATACAGAAAAAGGAGGAGGGCCAGCATCATCACAAGGTCTGAGATGTCTGTCATGGTTTTCTTCTGCAGCAAGCTCTTGTTATCCGTGATTCAGAAAAAAAGATAATTCCTGCAGAGCAGCTGGTGGTGGGGGACATTGTGGAGATTAAAGGAGGAGACCAGATCCCTGCGGACATCAGGCTGCTGTCTTCTCAGGGGTGTAAGGTGAGCATCAGGGAACACCCACCTTGAAGCTCCTGCTCGGAGCTGACAGGTGTTCTGTTCTTTCCCAATCTTGGTAGAAGAGGCAGGAAACAAGGTGCCTAATTTTGAGTTCTTTTCAAAATTTCTTCTAGGTAGATAATTCGTCTCTCACTGGGGAATCTGAGCCCCAGTCTCGTTCAACTGAGTTTACCCACGAAAACCCCCTGGAAACAAAGAACATAGGCTTCTATTCTACAACCTGTTTGGAAGGTAAGACCAGTTGTCTGTCAGCCACAAGTCTGACCTGTACCACTTCTCCTTCTCAGGCCTGATGTTTTTGTCTCTCCTGTCCCTTGGTATAAATATTTACCCAGAGGAAACATGGAACTGAAGGTTCCAGAGGACCAATGTTGGCCTTTATAATATCATGTGCTGATTGCATAAGCCACCAGAGAGGGCTGTCGATAGGACTCCTGGAGTAAAATGTCTACTTCCCCTATAGGCACAGCAACCGGCATGGTCATCAACACGGGTGATCGCACCATCATTGGTCGCATAGCCTCCTTGGCTTCAGGTGTTGGAAATGAGAAGACGCCCATTGCCATTGAGATCAAGCACTTTGTTCACATTGTGGCAGGCGTGGCCATCTCCATTGGCATCCTTTTCTTCATCATCGCGGTGTCCATGAAGTACCATGTCCTGGACTCCATCATCTTCCTCATTGGCATCATTGTGGCCAATGTTCCTGAGGGCCTCCTGGCCACTGTCACTGTGAGTCCACACTGTTAGGCAGCCTGCATTTCCATAGTGTTGGCACCTACCATTGCTGCTGGGGAGGCTCCTACCCACAAACTACAGCCTCCTTTCAACAACATATCCTCCCTACCAGGAACCACCATGGAACATTCTGAATAGACTGTTTCTTATAGGAACTGACTGAGACTACCATTTACAGGTTTTTCTAGACCCCTAAATGCCTTCCCCACATTTCTTTAAAACAACAACAACAAAAATCTTCCTTGGTAGTTTCCACAACCTAGGAATTGGACACATTCTCTCTTCCTTCTCTCAGGCCAAAAAAAAAAAAAAAAAAATCCTCTATTTCTTTTCTGTAGAAGAATTCAGCCCTGTTCTTCTTGTCTCTCCCTGGACCATCTCATTCAGTCCTCAGATAAAAGGCTCCTCCCAGTCTGTGTCTTGGAAGCCCACAGGGTTGGGGAGGAGGAATTCACACTCCCATCTTATAATTACAATGGCCTATGTTGCCCTGGCCAAAGACAAGAGAAGATGTTTCAAGTCTCTTGTGACTCTAGGAGATAATAATATGAAGAAAGTAAAAAAAAAAACTTGAGATCTGGACGTTTCAAAGGATCTTTAAAATAAGGAGCTTGTAAAATGTAACACTGGGGCTAGCACTGTAGTCAGTGGTAGAATACTTGCCTAGTATGTGTGAAACCCTGGATTCAATCCCTCACTACCTTAAAGAAAAAAAAAAAACACAAATGTTTCTTAAGGTCCCAAAGCAACATGTGAGTCCTTGAGGACAACCTCTTTGGTCTATAATAGTCAAGGTCTCTCTTACCCATTCATGCTCATGAGTGACAGGGGCTAGGTGGCTAAAGTTTCCCCACCGCTCCCCACTCTATCCCCCAATGCTGGGGATCAAATCTAGGGCCTCTGCCTGTTAGGTAAGTGCTTTACCACTGAGCTATACCCCAGCCCTCCACATTCCACTTTGGAATTATACATGTTCCCAGACTGCAGCCATGCAGTCTGTCTGTTATCTGTGGGCCCCCAGAAGCATTTTCTTCAAGGAATGAAGGGACAAGAATACTACCCCATATTTAATTTAAGAAAAAGTATTGTGGCTTATAAGGCTTTTGGTAGCTTTTAAGTCACTAGATAAACCTTGCTGCATTGCCAACTATATCTTTGGTCTAAAAATTTTCCAGCTCTCTCCTAAAATCCCAATTACACCTAACTTCTGTGATTAAACCTGAATTCAAAATGATTATTCCCAAAGCCTCATTTGCTCTTTCCTTTCAGGTTACCCTGTCACTAACAGCAAAACGGATGGCCAAGAAGAACTGCCTGGTGAAGAACCTAGAGGCAGTAGAGACCCTCGGCTCTACCTCCATCATCTGCTCAGACAAGACCGGAACCCTGACCCAGAACAGGATGACTGTGGCCCATTTATGGTTCGACAACCAGATCTTTGTGGCTGACACAAGTGAAAACCAATCAAGTGAGTTTTCTAGAGGGTTTATTCAGACCCAAATCTATAGACTCAAGCAGAGGGACTGGCTGAGTATAGCAGCCAGTCTCAAACAGGGTGTGAAGGTTGTGACTTGGACATGACAGGCCCAGCATTCACAGTGACCACTGGTCTTTCTCTGTGTTCCAGACCAAGCCTTTGACCAAAGCTCTGGAACATGGGCCTCCTTATCCAAAATAATAACATTGTGTAATCGAGCTGAGTTCAAACCAGGACAAGAAAGTGTCCCCATCATGAAGGTAAAGCTGCTACAGCTCTTGGTCTAGCCAGTGCAAGATCACTTTTTCTGTTCTCTTGGGCACTTGATATAATTTCTCTAGCTGTGTGAAGTTTACACTAGTAAGAGCAGATCCCAACTCATAGACAGACATAAAGTTTTCTTCACTCTATCTAGTTATGAGAAATCACAGATGATCTCAGGATATTCGTTTAGGACCTTTTGAAAATTCTCTTATTCCAGAAAATGAACGTGTCTTTAAGTTGCTTTCCTAACTTTTTTACAAGCTAAGTGAAAATAAGCAAAGTTTTGTTTTGTTTTTATTATATAAATGCCATTCACTAAAGTTTAAAGTGTAATTGAATGGAAATAAAGGGACTGATCTTAATATATAGTCCTCTTGACTAGAATGTGGTGGCAAATGGAGTGCCAAGAATATTGGAATATTGAAATATAAAATAAACTCTAGGCACCATGGCACATGCCTGTAATCCCAGCAACTCAGGAGGCTAAAGCAGGAGGATCACAAGTTTGAGACCAGCCTTACAACTTAGTGAGACCCTATCTCAAAATTAAAAATGAAAGAGGCTGGGCATATAGCTCAGTGACAAAATGCCTCTAGGTTCAATTCCCAATTCTGCAAATAAATAAAAAATAAAGTAAAATAAAACTCTTTTTTTCCTCTTTCCCTTTTCCCCATCTTTCTCCCCCTCCTCATTCTCTTCTCCTCCCTCTTCCCCCTTTTCCTTCTCTCTCTTACCTTCTTACTTCTTCCCTTCTTTATTTTCTCTTTTCCATCTCAGTGAGCCACTGAATCTGTTTTCCTGGCTTTTCCATTTGCCAACTTTTCTGCACTGATTATTCCACTTTCTCGTATTTTTGGTGTGTTTATCACAATACCTTGCATCTAAATAGCTGGACCAACCTCTTCATGGGCTTTGCTGATTCTAGTTAATTCCTTCCCATGATGGTCATTTTCACATGCCTCTAATTTTCCTCAGATATTGAATGTATCATCACCTAACTTTGATAAAAATCTTCCTGTGATTCCCTATTTTCTACTTCTTGAGTCTAGATTTCAGCTTGCCTTTCATGGACCTCCAAATCTTGCCACACCCTCTATGTCCAACCGTACCTCCAACACTCACAATGTAACCTTCACTGTCCACTGTGGTATAGCTCAAATCCTCCAGTCCTCATAGAGCTCCCACTTATTTGAAATTTTCTAGTACTGGTAGGTGACAGCACTGTTTTACACTCTTACCATGGTCCGGATTCAGTTATTGATGGTCACATGATAGCCTTGTCTCTTCGGCTAGATGGTAAGCTTAGTCAGGAGACATGTTAGTTCTTGTGCTAAAGGCATGTAGGTTCATTAAACACTGTCACACAGGAACCAGAGTATTTGCTGTAAATATTTATTTCTTTTGGTTCCCAGAAAGTCGTGGTTGGAGATGCCTCGGAAACTGCTCTTTTGAAATTCTCAGAGGTCATTTTGGGTGATGTGATGGAAATTAGAAAAAGAAACCGCAAAGTAGCTGAAATCCCTTTTAACTCTACAAACAAATTTCAGGTGAGTTTTTCCTCACAACTGGCAATATTTGTTATCACTGCAACAACACTTCTACTTGCATGTATTCATTGGTTAACCCACAATTTGATTGATACCTGCTTTTAAAAATAATCTTTGGGATTTAGGGTCAGAGCATCTGGTAAGCCCAAGTCAATGTTCCTTTGTTAGCCTCCTTATTTCCATGAAATAGAGAAAAACAGAAAGGCAAAGACATGATCAGGGTCTGCTGCTTCTGTAAATGATCCATCTATATTACAAATTGTGTGTGTGTGTGTGTGTGTGTGTTTCAAACACAAACCATTACCACCTTTTGCACAAAGGATACACACAAAGGATCAATGAGAGATGGGAAAAGTGGGTAAAACTAGCATTCATTGCTTAACTAGTACCCTTACTAGATCCTATGTACCCTCAAGTTTTACAACCTTGGATTCAATGAACCATGGATCAAAAACAATTGGGAACAAAAAAATTACACAGACAATTTCTTGTCATTATTCCCAAAACAATAGCATGTACCAGCTGTTTACTTAACACGTATATTGTGTTAGGTAGTATAAGTCACCTAGAGTGCAGAGAATGGGCAGATGTGCATAGGTTTTATGCAAATACTAGATCTTCTTTTTTGGAGGGTATCAGGGATTGAACTTGGTAGCACTCAACCAATGAGTCACATCCCCAGCCCTATTTTGTATTTTCTAATTTAGAGACAAGGTCTCACTGAGTTGCTTAACACCTTGCTTTTTGCTGAGGCTGGACTATCCTCCTGTCTCAGCCTCCCAAGCTGCTGGGATTACAGGCGTGTGCCACCATGCCTGGCAAGATCATTTTATATGAAAGACTTGAGCATTTGTGGATTTTGGTATCCCAGGAAGTACTGAAATTAATCCCTTAAAGATAAGTCTGACTCCAAAGTCCATGCATTTTCTACTACACATAGGCTTTGCCCTAAGGAAAATAAGACTCCTCAGATGACTAGTCACATTGTTTTCTGGTTCTAGCCCATAGGCCATTGGTAGGTATTTTTTTTTTCTAACCACTGCTCAGGAAAAACTTGGCCATCCTTGTTTAATTATTCTACATTACTCCAGGGATGGCCAACAATCAGCCATCTTCATCTTCCTGTTCAACAAATGACTCTTTGTAGCCCAAGGTCCTGTTACACATGAGAGAATCCCAACCTAAGATGGATGGATCAATACTTGGGCTTTATATATACAGTGAAGGAGTCATATGTTGCTTAATGATGGGGATACAATTTTCTAAGAAATGTGTTGTTAGATGATTTCATCATTGTGCAATCATCATAGAGTATACCTACACAAACCTACTGCACACCTAAGTTATATGGTAGAGCCTGTTGCTCCTAAGCTACAAACCTGTAAAGCATGTTACCATGCTGAATACTGTAGGCAACCCCAAAACATGTAAGTACTTGTGTATTTAAACATATCTGAATGGTAAAAATATTAGGCAGTAAGAAATTTTAGCTCCATTATAATCTAAGGGACCATTATGATATATGTAGTCTCTCCCTGACTGAAACATCATTGTGTGGCACATTGTGTGGCATACTATGTATAAATAGGATAACCATATGTTTGTAGAAATTTCTGATGATTATCTATCCACCTTTGTTTGGATGAAATTTAGGCTTGATGAAGAACTATTTGTGTCACAAACATCTTCTTTCTGGATAGTAGCTAGTCATGGTTAGCTAACTAGACAACTAACAAAAATGTATATGATATTAAAGCCAGGAAATTCTCTCTTATTTGAAACTTAAGTGAAAATAGAAGGAGTAATGATCATAAGATAACAGCAGTACTAGTAGCTAGTTTGTGCTAATTTCTACATGTATTCAATCATTCATTTTCATAATGACTTTACAAGGTAAGTAGAGGATGAGGAAATTAAGGTATAAAGGATTGGAACACAGCTAGAGAGGGCCAGAGTCAAGATTTCAAGCGGGGCTAGGTAGTCCATCCTGGAAAAGTCAAGGCTAAGTGATCTTTTAAGCAGAAATAAGACTCAGAATGTTCCTGAGGTGCCATCTACCACGGCAAAGGCATTTTCTGTCATGAGAAATGAGAGTAGGTTCCATTAGGCCTCATGTATAACACATTGGAGTAGAAAGTGAAGCTGGGACCAGAAAGGGGAAAGAGGGCCTATGTGAGCTCCCACTGTAGAGGTCAGCCCAGGTCAATATTGGGGGCCATTAGTGCAACACTGTATACAGAGCTTTAGACAGTGTGGCATTGGAGTTCTATATGTATCATTCAGTGGAGGCAAAGAAAGTGGAAAATCTGTATCTTATTGATCTTGGAATAGCCATACTCCAAACAGACTGTCCATGAGAATTTTTTTTTAAGTCATTATCTCTTACTAAGTTGCTTAGGGCCTTACTAAGTTTCTTTGCTGAGGCTGGCCATGATCCTGTGATTCTCCTGCCTCAGCCTCCTAGGTTGCTGGGATTACACCACACCCTACTCCATGAGAATATTGTTTAGGGCACATTGGAAAATTAAGAAAATGCTTCATAGTTTTCTATAAAGATGAATTCATGTAATTGAAAAGATTATTCTTTACATCCTCCATGATTCAGGATAGGTACTCTAGAACCTGCTAGCTTGGGTTTAAATGCCAGCCCAGTACCTACTCATATGTGAACTTGAGCATATCATTGAACCTTCTCTGAACCTCAGTTTCCACCTTCACACATGGTGATAAAAATAGTGCTCAGGGCCTTAGGGTTTTTTGTTAGTTTGCTTGCAGTGTTCAGGTTTGAACCTGGGGCTTCGTGCATTCTAAGCAGATGCTCTGCCAGTGAACTATAACACCCTCCCTGCCATATCTTTTGGGAAATGACAGTGATAATAGTTGGGAGTATTTTTTGGTTTGAGTTGGGTTGGGTTGGGTTTTGGTTGGTTGGTTGCTGTTGCTGTTGCTGTTGTTTTAATGTCTTTACTTGACCACAAGGAAAAATAATAATTTTTAAAAGCTGGCAACCTATTTGCATTTCTTTTTCCAATTGAACTCATCTTTAATATCTCTGAGGCCAAGATCTACTGGTGTGGAATCAACTCTTGAACTCAAAATGGTAGCATTTTTCTTTGTATTTTCTACCAAAGACTGCAAATTTCAAAAGCTACCTGGGGCTTGGGGAGCAGAGTTTCCTGAGGCCAACTACAGTGGCACACACCTATAATTCCAGCAACTCAGGAGGATATGGCAGAAGGATCACAAGTTCCAGGCCAACCTCAGCAATTTAGCAAGGCCTTAAGCAACTTAGTAAGACCCTGTCTTAATATAAAACATAAAAAGAGATGGGGATGACCCGGGGGTAATGACACACACCTGTAATCCCAGCAACTTGGAAGGCTAAGGCAGGAGGATCACAAGTTCAAGGCCAGCTTCAGCAATTTATAGAAGTCCTAAGCAATTTAAGAGAAATCCTGTCTCAAAATACAAAATAAAAAGGGTTGGGGTTGTAGCTCAGTGGTAAAGTGCACCTGGGCTCAATCCCTGGTACCAAAAATAAAAAAGGGGCTGAGGATATATAGCTCAGTGGTAAAGTACCCCTGGGTTCAATCCCTGGTACCAAAAGTGGAGGTGCTGGGGATGAAGTTCAGTGCTAAAGTACCTTTGGGTTCAACCCCCAGTACCAAAAAAAAAAAAAAAATCCCTGCTGCTCTCAGAGCTCAGGTCTGAAAGATACTTATCTGCTCACCAGAGGCTGGGAAAGACGGTAAGACACAGAGACTATGAATTTCAGACTCTCAAGAGCTCCCTGGGAGAGCTTGTTCCAGAAGGAGAGCCACATATGGCCTCCTTAATGCAGTCAGTGTCTGTCTGAAAGACAAGCTTCACTTAATTTGGAATCCAACTCACTGTGCCCCTCTGAGCCAGGGTCAAGTCTAGGATTCTGCATATTAATTGAACACAAAAATAAAAAGGATAGGATATGCCTAGAGATGTCATTATTCCTCTCCCTCCTTTATACTTTAAAGACACATGGAAAGAAAGGAGTGTGTTTCCCCTTCTTGTCCTATTATTAGTTGGAAGAGCCATGGTAAAGATGCTTTATCTAACATGACCATGGTAAAGATGCTTTATCTATCAAAAATCAGAAGAGCCATGGTAAAGATGCTTTATCTATCAATTCATGACCTCCCAGCTCTCCATACATGAGACAGAGGACCCCAACGACAAGCGCTTCCTCATGGTGATGAAAGGGGCTCCCGAGAGGATCTTGGAGAAGTGCAGCACTATAATGATCAATGGTCAGGAACAGCCACTGGACAAAAGCACTGCTGCGGAATTCCATACAGCCTACCTGGAGCTGGGTGGGCTGGGCGAGCGTGTGTTGGGTGAGTACAGACCATAGGACCCCTGTCCATCTCCCAGGAGGTATGGAATAGGCGGCCTCATGAGCTAACAGTAGTGTGGTATCACATGGGTCATATAGTCATATAAAGAAGGACACAAAAGGCTAGGGCTATACCTCAGTGGCAGAGCACATTTGTGAAACACTGCCTCTCATGTTTGATCCCCAGCACTGCAAAAAATATACACATATATGATAAACAGGATGTAACATATAAAAATGTGATGACACCAAGGAGAATGGAGTCACTTGTAGACAAGCAAAATCAAAGACTTTACGGAAAGAGTGACATTTCAAAACTGGGCCTTGAATGGTGGTATTCAGAGAGGTGGGGGAGAGTATCCATGGAGAAGAAACAACAAAGGCCAAGCAGAGGCAGAAAGGGATAGGATTTATGCATGCAGGATGAAGCTACCCAATTCCTACAGACCTGCAGCATAAATGAGATGGTGCAGGTATGTGAAGAGGGGCTGGAAAATAGATTGGAGATCATGATATGGAGCCCTTGAATATGTTGCAAAGAATTGGGGTTTCATCCTGCAGTTAGTAAAGAACACCCTAGTCTTGAAGCAAGGGGGAGCTGGTTAGAGTTAACAATACTTCTTAAGGATAATCTTTGGTGGTAGTAAGGAGACCTAAACCTTAGCAGGAGGTGACTATACTAATTCAGGTAAAGGGGGTGGGAATTTGATGCAAGGCTACAGGAATGCAAAGGAGAGGTCAGGTGCCAGAGCCTTCGTTGAGGCAGAGTGGTTAAGATTTAGTAACAGATTAGAGAAGAATACTGACAAAAAATGATTTAGCCTTCCATTTCGCAAGTAGGAATAAAAGTAATACCAGTAACTGAGATAGGGCATGTTAGTGGTGGAAGGAACCTTAAAAATAGAGCCACTGTGGTAAAAGAAGGGGTTTCATGAGAGACAATGTGGTTCATTGTCAGAATCATGGATTGACCAAATGGCACCTCCTGTTCAGAACCACATAATGATGAATTCAAGGAAACAGAAGCTCACAGTTGAAGGATAAGGCTCATTAATCACAGGAAAATGCTTACCAATAGATATGGAATCCATGGAATGTGTTTCTGAAAGGTATATGAGTTTGTAAAGCAGATAAAATATACAAATGAGCTGTTAGTGATTTAAGTATGCCCTCAGTAACCCACAGCACCAAGTAATCTTTTCAACACAGGGTTAGTCCCTATCTGATAGAGTCACTCCGAGATCCTCATATTTGACCACTCAAAGTCTGGTTTACTGAAGTGTGTAAAGCAGCGGGCCATGCTGAGAACTAATTTGGTGTAAAAGCCAAGGAAAGGGTCACCCAAATATAGGTCACCAGATACAGGAATGCCTTTCTACCCCAACCTGAGACAGGCTAATGCCTAGGAGACAAGGATGGGTCTACCCCATTTCTAATGGCTTTTCTCTTGTACTGTGTGTGTGTGTGTGTGTGTGTGTGTGTGCGCGCGCACATGTGCTGGTGGTGCTGAGATTCAATGTGGGGCCTCACACATTCTAAGCAGACACTCTGCCACTGAGCTGTACCCCAGCCCTCTTGTACTTATCTTAATGAAGGACTAGACTTCTTAACACTCCCCAGACATCCTGAGTTCTTTCCTCATTTTGTGCAGTAGCATGTATTGGTTTCTCTATAGAAAATGGCCTTCCAACCCCTGGGAAATCTCTCCTGACTCTCTAGATACCTGAAGTGTTGCTCTACTCTGCAATCCATAGCATGTCTTTTGATGATTTGTCTCTTTAGTGCTCTGTTGGCCCACTAAATGGAGACATCAGAATAAAATGCTATCCATTTTATTTGTCTTGGTCTTTATATCTCTAGAACATAGCATAGAACCAATTGAGCACACACTAAATATTTTTGAATGAAATGTGTCTTTCCTAAAGAAAACATATATTATGGAGTTGAAGGATTTAAATGATTCTGGTATATGACTACTTTATTGGTAAAGTAGTCAAGGATTGAGAATGTATCAACATTAAAAAAAAAAAAGAGAATGTATCAACATGTTTGCCCTTTCCTTTTGTTGTTTTGTTTGTTTGTTTTTTGGTGCTGAGAATTTAACCCACACACTCTACCACTGAGCTACATGCCCCCAGGCCCCCTTTCCTTTTGTCATTCCTTATCCAGTTTCATTGACTTCCAAATTCATGTCCATTCCAGGTTTCTGTCATCTCTACCTGCCAGCAGACAAGTTTCCAGAGACCTACTCATTTGATATAGACACCATTAACTTTCCTACCTCCAACCTCTGTTTTGTGGGGCTCTTGTCGATGATAGATCCCCCTCGGTCTACTGTGCCAGATGCAGTTACCAAATGCCGGAGTGCAGGGATCAAGGTGGGAGTTATTTTCCTGATTCAAAAAGCCCTCCATTTATGTTGCAACACTTTATCAGAATATTGTTGTAGGATATGGTCAGTATTTAGGTCTACTCAAGTAAATGTCATAATCCCCCCTTTTTGAGTCCCTATCTTCACTGTGTTCAGATTTCAGTAACTGTCTCATAAAAGCAAAATTATTGTATCTATGTAGAATGAACCACCACAGAAACTACGTCAAGAAGAATCTCCCAGTGCCATGAATTAGCCATGTCTTGCCCTAGACCATGATAGATAATAAAAGATTTTACTAGTCTTGAGGTTTAGCCTCCATAATCCATTTATTGTCATGATATTTAAGCCAAAATATGAATTCTATTACATATTACCATATTAGTATCAAGACTACTGAAGCTGCTCAGGGCTGTCTCAAATAGACATCTATAGGCCTCCTCACAAACACAGTGACATGGAAGTAGAAGAGTGTCCTCCAATGTCAGAGGAAGAAATCTAAGAAGCCCAGGAGCAAAGATAGACTCAATGGGATCAGTGTGTCCTTCATAGTACTTGTGTCTTAGATCAAAATTGTCCATAGGGAAAACAATAGCTATTGCTAACAATATTCTACCTAGTCCTGGCAGAGTAGGTGACATGGAACCATTGCCCCTACTTTGGCCAGCCAAATTCCTCATTATCCACAAGTCATTGTTATCTGTGTTCTAGGTTATTATGGTTACAGGTGATCATCCCATCACAGCCAAAGCTATTGCCAAGAGTGTAGGGATTATTTCAGCTAACAGTGAAACAGTGGAAGACATTGCAAAACGCCTCAACATTGCTGTGGAGCAAGTTGACAAACGGTAAGCACAGAACCAATATCACAAGTTCTTACCCAGGGGTCTTTTTTGGTTCTGGAGCAGATCACCTTTTTGCCAAACACTATCTCAGGGTAATGCTGGGTTGATTTGATCTATAATTCACATATTCATTAATTCATTTCAACTTTTATTATGTATCTGTGCCAGGCACTCTATTGATAGCATGAGAATGAACCTTTATGTATTCTTTGTCTGAAATTTCAAAATTCAATGAAGTATAGCATGTGTAGCTTAACAACAGGGAAAAGTTCTAAGAAATGCAGTTTTATCATTGTATAAACCTCAGAGTATACTTGAGTCCAGGAGTTCAAGACTAGTCTGGGCAACATAGCAAGACCTCATCTCAAAAAATTAAAATTATAGGATTATACATTTTCATACAAATTGCCACACTGAACAGCAGAATGAAGTAAATACTTTTGTGAATGTTTTATTTTATCCCCTTCTTTACCTCTGACTTTATGAAGATATAATAATATAGTCTGGCAGCTGTAAAAGGGCAAAAAACCATTCTTTCCTTTCCACCTTACCTTGTTATTTTTTACGAGCAGTTATGTAGACTTGTGGTTTGAGTCAAGTGCTAGATGCAGTATTTAGCACCAAGAGGGGAAAAACAAAATTTGAAAAACTAAAAATTTACATAAACTTAAAGAAAAAAGGCAGATTTGAGATTTGAAGGCTAAAATGTGGAGTTTTAGCCAAGGGAAACTGAGGTGAGAGATGCCTATTCCTACAAGGAAGATCTGTGCAGTCCTTGAGGCAGTGGAGGTATGGGGTCTCCATTTGGTAGGCTGGGGAGGAGAGCCAAGAGGAGGTAAAATTCAACCACTCAGGCCACACACACTGGCCTTCCTGACAATCCAAGTTAAGAATTCTGGAGTCTGCCAGGACCATGGTAGAAAATTCCTGAAGAGTTTAGCTAAGGAATGGTACAGTCAAATATTTATAATCAAGAATCCCTAAGGTCAGATGCATAGGCACAGGCCTGTAACCCCAGAGACTCAGGAGGCTGAGGCAGGAGAATCACAAGTTGGAGGCCAGCCTCAGCAACTTAGTAAGACTCAGTTTAAAAATAAAAAAATTTTAAATCCCTGTTATAATATCTAGCTGGGGTTACAGGCTTATGTCACCATGCCCTGCAGAACCTTATTTGTATAGTCAGCAGACAATAATTTTGCTCAAAGAAGACTTCCTGGGGCTGGGGATGTGGCTCAACTGGTAGCGCACCCGCCTGGCATGCGCAAGGCACTGGGTTCGATCCTCAACACCACATAAAAATAAAAATAAAGATATTGTGTCCACCTAAAAATAAAAAATAAAAAAGACTTCCTCCTGCAGAGCACATTGCACACAGTAGCCTTCTATAAACCTGAAATAACAGCAAAGAATTATTACCTATGTGTATTGATACAAGAGAATTTCAGGACCCATTTTTTATTTTTATTTTATTAATTTATTTATTTATTGTGGAGTTAGGAACTAAATTCAGGGCCTCATTCATTATAAGGAAGAACTCCACCACTGAGCTAAACACCCCGCCCTGAACAGGCAGATTTTTGACTTTCCTTTTCCTTGCCCCCAACACCATGAAGCACCACTTCTATCCATTCCTGCAAAGAAAAGGCTACTTGGCATTTGATTCCTAGGATACCAGGAAATGGCCTTATTTTTTAGCCTCAGTTTACTATTTTTAAATGGAGACCAAAGTGTCCCTAGTACCTATCATCAGTAAGACCTCACTAGACATTCAGTGTCAAGGATGTTATATTCTATGTGATGACATTAAAGAAGCTTACTGTTGCCCATAACAGTGTTTCAACCTAAGATCTGGCTTTGTGCCTCACTTACTTTCTTCTGGCCCTTCTAGGGATGCTAAAGCTGCTGTGGTGACTGGCATGGAGCTGAAGGATATGAGCCCAGAACAGCTGGATGAGCTCTTAGCCAACTACCCAGAAATTGTCTTTGCCCGAACATCCCCTCAACAGAAGCTGATCATTGTGGAGGGTTGTCAGAGGCAGGTGGGTGGATGACTGATCAAACCCATCCTGTCCATGGGCAAATGCAGAGCAGAGATCAGGTGGGCTGACACCCTGTCCTCTTTTGAAACCCTCGCATGGCCACATATTCTCCGTCTCTCTGCATTTTATCATGAGTACCTGGGGTTTCTGACAGCCAGGCATTTGCACTGTGGTAGGTGTGGATGTAGAAAATTTAGAAGTGTAAAAATATAACACAAAATATGTGAAGCCATAAGATACAGTCATGCCTTAATATCCCTGGGGATTTTTGAAGACTTTTTTTCATTTGCACCTATATACTTCCCATATACTTTAAATCTTTAGATTTCTTGAAATACCTAAATACAATGTAAGTGCTATGAAAATAGTTTTATACCATATTGTTTAAGGAACCATGACAAGAAAAGATTCCGTGCATGTTCTGTTTCCAATATTTTCTATTCTCAGTTGGTTGAATCTGTAGATATGGAACCCACCAGTATGGTGGGCCAACTATGCAAGACACCTCTGTTTACTTATCACACACATTGGTTTTTGTATGGTTTTGTTTTTTCATGTAAACACACCTTGTTTGGAGCTCCTTGATCTTGTTTCTGAGATTTCCCATCTTTATTTTTCTTCCCAATGGGCCCTTCATTTGAGCTATAGTAGTCCTTACAGCTCAAATTGAAAGGCAGGCCATGTTTTTCTTGTTCATCCTATGGCCCCTTAGACCTACTCTGTCTCATTTTTTCACTGGGTACCCATAGGATGCAGTTGTTGCTGTGACAGGAGATGGAGTAAATGATTCTCCAGCTCTAAAGAAAGCAGACATTGGGATTGCCATGGGGATAGCAGGTTCTGATGCTGCCAAAAATGCAGCCGACATGGTCTTGCTGGATGACAACTTTGCATCTATAGTCACAGGAGTGGAGGAAGGTGAGTGGGAGTCTCGGGGTGTCTTCCCAAGGACTGGAGTTGCCTGGGGGACTAGAAGCAAGTCCTATAATGAGACATCTTTGTCCAGGTCGCCTGATCTTTGACAACTTAAAGAAGACTATTGCGTATACCCTGACCAAGAACATTGCTGAACTTTGCCCCTTTTTGATCTACATCATTGTTGGGCTCCCTCTTCCCATTGGCACCATCACCATCCTGTTCATTGACCTGGGCACAGACATTGTAAGTGGCGCTAAAAGGAACAGAGTCTGATAACAGCCCCAGGGGATATAAAGTTCAGGGTTGTTTCTTTCAAGGGCCATGAGATAGACAATAATAGTCGGTGCTCTTAAACTTCCCTGCAGTGGGTTCTGAAGTTCTGTATTGCCAACAAGCTCTCAGGTGACATCAGTTCCGCTGGTCCATAGACCACAATCCAAAGCAAGAGACTTAGGACATTTGTCAAGTGTTTGGAAATTAAAACCACTTCACTCTGGGGATGTAACTTAGTGGTAGAGTGCTTGCCTAGCATGCACAAGGCTCTGTATTCAACCCCAGCCAAAATAAATAAATAAATACCACTTTACTCCATGTAGAACTGTTCAAGAAAAGAGTCTTGGGGTTAGGGATGTGGCTTAGTGGTAGAGCACCTCTCACCAAAAAAGACATGAGTCTTGACCCTCCAAAAAATTATGCCATTGATCAGATCCAGTTCATGTCCCTCCCTATTTGGGCAAGGTAAAATAACCACCCAAGTAAAGAGTTCCTGTCTTTGTTAGTTAAGGGGCTTCCATATCAGATTCTTTATCTATACACACAGTACAAAGGAACAATTATTAAGACTTATAAAGCTTTATCCAACAATACTGCCACCTAAATCTTCCCATTGTCCAGTATGTATCCATTTAAACAAAGCTTTGTGAAAGTCCCCTATGTGAGTCTGACTTACTGAGACAAGAAGAAACAGCAACAGAGAAAAAGCTAGATGCACAACACAAAATAGGCCTGTAAATTGCCTCCTTCCCCATCTCATTCTATATAGTACTCAAGTATAATACCTGCATCTCAGAGAAACTAGAGATGTCTTTACCTTTGGGGGTAGTCAAGGTCCCCACAGTAGATAGATCACTTTCCAAGCCCTTTAAGTTTGCTCATTTTTCTCTACTGCAGTGGTTCTCCAAGTGTAATACTTGTTAGAAATGCAAATTCTCTGATCCAAAACTTGACTTCCTAAATCAAGAAGTCTGGACATGGTGTCCAAGAATCTCTTTTAACTGGTCCACTGTGGTGGGACCTGTGAGAGGACCAATATTCTAGCATATTGCTTTGGGATCTAGCTGCACACCAAAGGGGGAAAGGTGGTACAGGAAATTGTCCCTGGAGAGGAAAAGTAGTTTATGATTTATAATAATCATTGTTTAGAACTAATTATAATATTTAACAATGATTATTATTTAGAACTATTATTTAGAACTAATTATAATATTAAACAATGATTATTATTTATAATAATCATTGTTTAGAACACATTATGTAATGATGAAAAATAGAATGATTTTTTAAAGCCAACTCTTCTTAAAAACCATACAGTCTGAATTCCAACTGTTGCCTCTATTGCCTGCACCCTGAATGGACTAGTTCCACATCCCCACCACCACCATCTAGCAGACCCCTACCTTTGCTAGGCCATAGCTATTACCATCACTTTATGGGTAGACAGAGCATTCATTCCAGTATTAAGCTTCCTGGGCCTTCTTCCCCTTTAGATCCCCTCCATTGCCTTGGCCTACGAAAAAGCTGAAAGTGACATTATGAACAGGAAGCCTCGCCACAAGAAGAAAGACAGATTGGTAAACGAGCAACTTGCCGTCTACTCTTACCTGCACATTGGTATGATGAGGGAATTTCCTCCTTGTCACACAGGGCCCTCCCTAGAGAATTCATTTGAGTCCTAGGCACAGGCAGAATGTGTTTTTTTCCTTTGGAGTGGGGTTGGATGGCAAGAGAGGCTGAGAGGAGTCCCAGGACAAGCAAGGTAATTCTCTGAGGTCATCGTATGTCTGTATCTCTTACTCCTTCAGGTCTCATGCAAGCCCTGGGAGCTTTCCTTGTATATTTCACTGTCTATGCACAAGAAGGCTTTTGGCCCACCTCTCTCATTAACCTACGGGTAGAATGGGAAAAAGATGATATGAATGACTTAGAAGACAGCTATGGACAGGAATGGGTAAGTTGAGAGCTCTGCCATCATCACTTAGTTATTACCTCCTTCCAAAGCCCTTCCTGAACCAAGATAGAACCTCTATTTTCCCAAACAGCCTTGAAACAAATTTTAGAAGCTGCTTAGTTAATAGTGTTGGTGGTTCCTCACTGACACTGGTTTAGCCATTGCTGAGACTTAGCCACATTTCTCAAACTAAACCAAAAGTTCACTTTTTTAGTTAGCTTTGTCAATAGTGCACAACCAGTCCAACAGTTGGGCCAAATAAGTTTCTATCTTTTTCTATTCACCTGATTCAAGGAAAAAGATATTTCTTTCCAAACACAAGGAGGTAGTCCACCCTCAATCTGGCTGATTTTGGAGAAGGAGTCAAGCTTTATAGAAGGGCAGTGGAATCCCCCTGAAATTCCCCCTCAAGGTCTCACATCTCATCTTTCTCTGCCCATTGACAGACAAGGTACCAGAGGAAATACTTAGAGTGGACAGGCTACACAGCCTTCTTTGTTGGCATCATGATCCAGCAAATAGCAGATCTGATCATCAGGAAAACTCGGAGAAATTCTATCTTCCAACAGGGACTCTTCAGGTACTTCCTATCCCTGACCTCATATATATAACCCACCTATGGCCATACTGTAATGCACAAGGTGCTGACTCCAGTGGCATGGTCTGCTGGGTACATGATCATGGAGCCACTGGAATTCAGAATCCATTTGCTTTTGTGTGTGTTGCAGAAATAAAGTCATCTGGGTGGGAATTGCCTCACAGATAATCATCGCACTGATCCTATCCTATGGCCTTGGGAGCGTCACAGCCCTGAGTTTTACTATGCTTAGGTGAGTTTGGCTTTAACAGCATAGAGCAAAGAGCCAGCCCCTGTTCTAAGTTGTTCTAAACAAACACTAGGATTCTCACCAGCTCTTCCCAACAAAGTCTTTCCAAAGAAGTCAAACTGATTCCATGCTCTAAGAGCCCAGCCCTTGACCTACCTATTTTCCAAAAGAAGAAATGGGTTTTTCAGGCCTCACTAAGCCATCTCCACCCTCATCCAACAGGTTGTGTCAAAGGCAGATGTTGCTTTTAGCAGTCATAGTAAAGGTTAAATAAGGAGTTTTCCAGGTCTATGTTGTGTGATTCAGTGGATTTGTAATTCTTTTTAGTAAGGTAAGGAAAATGAAGATGAAGCTGCCCTACTCATTGGCCAGGGACTGGACTAACCCTTTGAATAAACTAGGGCTCATCTTCCTCCTCTCTGTTTTCAGGCCTCAGTATTGGTTAGTGGCTATACCACATGCCATCTTGATTTGGGTGTATGATGAAGTGCGAAAACTCTTCATCAGGCTCTACCCTGGAAGTGAGTAATGATGTGGCTGGCTTTCTTTCTCTCTCTCTCTCTCTCTCTCTCTCTCTCTCTCTCTCATGCTGGGGATTGAATCCAGGGCCTCATGCATGCTAGCAAGCTCCCTACCATTAAGCTATACCTCTGGCCCAGCAATATGATTTTTTAACCTCTGTACCTCTTTCCACAGGCTTTCCATTTATTTATTTTTTTTCTACCTCTACAGGCTGGTGGGATAAGAATATGTACTATTAAGACCACATCACTCTCCAAGTTTCCCAGTAGCATATTGGGAATATTCTTCATCTTCTGGCTACTCACTGGGAGATCTCTTGCAGTACAGACATCATCAAATCTCAAGAGAGACTTTCATATAGAAAACTATATGAAACATACTCATGTTTTGTACTTTAAATATGATTCAACTGTTTATATAGAATTTTCATCTCTATCGCAATCTCCTTAATTTAAAATATGTGAACTTTTAGGTAGTGGTATAAGGAAAAACATGTTTATATGTATATAAAGTTCACTTTGTTAAATAGTCTAGTGTAACCCGGTATCTGCTGGGGTCTGCCTTAAACCAGTATAGGATTATTCAAACCTCACTCACTCATAATGACACCCCCCTCTCGAGATTTCTGTGAATCCTACCAAGAACATATGCTCATGGTCACCATGCTCACAAAAGGCTAACTTAGCTGAATGTTTGTGGGAGGTCAAAGTGGTAGCAGGCATACATCACAGCATCACAGATGACCTCAGTTTTGACTCTGAGATCTCCTTCAGTTTGTGACAGTTTCCCTGGCCTTGTCACCCTATCCTGCCTCCTGTCACCTTCTCAGCCCTTTCATGTCCCACCCAGAACCCTCTCTATCCTCCAAACCAAAGCTCCAAGTCCATTTTGTATATCCTAACTCAGAATTCTCAACTCATCAAAGGGAACTTTATTTACCAGGATTAAACCTCAGCAGAGACCACTGTGGATTAAATAGTAATATTTATTTCTTAAAAAAACAAGCCTCCAGACTCTCTGGAAATGATTTTATGTCAGTCATGTTTTGGTTGTAATTTAGATATATTCATATGTGACTCACATCATGTTAACAGGTCTGAAGAGGCCTGATTTTTTAGTAAAAAATGTTTTCTAAAACTAGATCTCATTGTGGTGTTCTAATTTAATTTGAGTTTTTCTAGGATGCAGAGCACAGTACACAAAAAAGATGCAATGTGATTTCCTTTTATTTATTTAGTTTTTCTTGCTCTTTCCAATCATTTTACTTATCCATGAAAGGTAAGATTTTCCTTCTGAACATTTTCTACATATACTTGCACTCTAGCCTGTGCTTCCATGCTGCCCACAACTCTTAGTCGAGACTCATTTCAGCAGTGGCACCCTAGGGAAAGTCATTTTCACAGCCTTTTCATCAATCACATACCCAGAACTAATTGATTTGATTGAACCTAAAAATTATATTTGGTTAAACTTTTTCCTAATGGTCTCTCCCCTAGTCTTTGACAGGAGGGCATCTGCTGCTGATGGCTCTAGGCTGATAGCTCTGGAACTAGGAAAGGGAAACTTAGAAACGCATGTTCTCATGGTTCACTTTTAGGAACATGAAAGAGGTAAGGGAGCCATCATAATTTTATGTAAATAGATTATAATGTCCAATGTGTATTGTGTGTGGTGACATTAAGCTAAAATAATGTCACCATTCTCATGGCTCTTAATCTCTAGGTTCAGCCACAATTATCGTGAGGTTAATCTCCCATTAGTAGTTCAGTGAGCTGGAAACCCTTTCCAGGGTAGTTGGGGCAGTGTAGGATTGCCTCATTCCAGTTCCAACAAGGCAGTTAAGGCTTTCCAGGCTTCATCTATGAATAATTTGTCATTTCTTTTTCCTGCCAGGTTGCCGGTAACACTTGGCAGCTCTTTGTCCTGCCAGAGCCAGCAGGAGGTTATTAACATGGCACAAAACTATAAAACTTACTTTGGAGCCTGTGCAGTGGCACATACCTGTAATCCCAGCAAGTCGGGAAATGGCTGAGGCAGAAGGATTGCAAGTTTGAGGCCAAAGTCAGCAATATAGTGAGACTCTGTCTCAAAGAAAAAATAAAAAGAACTGGGGATGTAGGTCACTGTTAAAGCACTCCTAGTTTCAATGGAAGGAAGGGAGGGAGGGAGGGAGGAAGGAAGGAAGGAAGGAAGGAAGGAAGGGAGGGAGTTTATTTGGGATAGGAGTAAGCTTGAAAAGATTTAAATTTGAAGAAGCTTCTTAGCAGGAACTCTGTCTAGAATTACTTTTATATGTTCAGTTACCTATTCTTGCAAAATATTTGTAAAATGAACAAATAACTAACTTAAGGAATCCCATAAATGAGATGCGTATAACAAGTAGCTTTATGAAGTTGCAGACTGAAAAAGGAGATAAAATCCTGTCTTAGGGTTCTGTTTTATTTTGTTTTCAGGGTATAGTACTTAATTACCCCAGAAAGGACTAGCTTTTAGAAAAAAATAATAATAAGCCAGATGTGGTAGCTCATGCCTGTAATCCCAGTGGGAAGCTGAAGCAGGATGATCACTAGTTCAAAGCCAGCCTCAGCAATTTAACAAGGCACTAAGCAACTTAGCAAAACCCTGTCTCAAATTAAAAAAAAATTTTTTAATAAAAAAAAGGACTGGAGATGTGGCTCAATAGTTAAGCACCCCTGGGTTACTCTCCAGTACCAAGAAGAATAAAGTTAATTTAAACCTAGGTGTGGCAAAGTAACTCAAAGATATAAAGACTATGCTTAATTTATACACATGTACTTTTTTGTTGGTACTGAGGATTCACCAAGTCACTAGGATTACAGGCATGTATCACCATACCCAACCCACATTTACTTTTTAAAACTTTTTGTTTATTCTGATTATAAAATTGTAGCTCACTTAAGAAAATTTGGAAGGGTGTGTACCTATATTCCGAGATACATTCAGATACATGCCAAGGCATGAGGATTGTTCCAGGAGTTCCCAGCCAGCCTGGGCAACAGAGATCCTTCCTTTAAAAAAAGAAGAAGAAAAAGAAGGAGAAGGAGAAGAGAAAAGAGAAAGAAAATATGGAATAAACAAGAGTAAAAAGAAAATTAAAATCATCATGAATTTCACTAGTTGTTACTATACATAAATAAAAGAATAGTTCTTTCTTTGGGTTTTTTTTTTTCCTAAGCATATGTTTAGGCAAAATTTAAATATACTCTTCTGCCTTTTTATTTAACATTGAAAATTATGTTAATGGGGCCAGGGGTGTAGTTCAGTTGTAGAGACTTGCATAATATGCATGAGGCCCTGTGTTCAATCCCCAGCAGTGAAGAAAAATTTTAAAAAGAAAGAATGCTAATGACTCTATGGTATATTATATTGAGAGTGTTCTAACTATATAAATGTATTTCTACTATTCATCTTTCTTTAAAAGGCTGCACCTTATCCTTAAATCTTTTACCACATCTCCAATTATTTTTTTAGATTTCTCAGAAATGGAATTAAAAACATTTTAAGGCTCTCATTGCACATTGCCAAATTTATCTTCAGCTTATGCTATGCCAATTTACTTTCCCAACAGTAATAATAAAAAGAACATTTATCTTGTCTGACATTAGGATATGAAAGATCGGTTAATTATAAGAGATTTTTATTCATTCAGCAAAGATGTAGGAAGTGCTCCTGTATAACCTTAGAACACAGCAAGGAGCAAGACAGAATGGGACTAGGGAGGTAGCTCAATGGTAGAATGCTTATCTAGCATGTGCTGAGGCTCTGAGCTCAATCCCCAGCATCATCACCACCAAAAAAGAAAAAAGGTATCATGAAGCTAGCGCTCCAGTAAAAGAACAGGAGAAAATATGATAAACTGTAATAAAGAATTTGGCAAAGACATAACAAGGCTCAGATAGTTATAGGATCGGTTGAAGGTGGGTAAGCCCGTTTAAAAAGGATGGTCAGGAAAGCCCTTATTCCAGAGGCAAATGAGAATGAGTATAAATGGAAGAGGTTCCCAGAAAGGAAATCGAGACCTCAACTCAGCCATAGAGGGTTATTGACTTACACCACAGAGAGGAATTTCAGGGTGCCTAAGAAGAGGAACAAGAAATTTTTGTTTTGCTTTGTTTTTTAGGAAAGGAAGGAAATTTATTTAGAAAAACAAACAAAAGCAGGATATATACTCAAAAGGAGAGGGAGTGCAGGCACTCCAGAGCTAGATCTGCTTCAGCAGCCTCCGGCTTCTTTTAAAGGAAACAGGGACCAGGAAATTCATAAGGGGTGGCATCAGCCTAATGAACTGGATTCCTTTGATTGTGGTGCACAGAGTAGGCCTACTGGTCTGGTTCTTTTCAAAATCTTCAGGTTAACATTATCTAGTTAATATATAACACTTGGACAATACCCATATCATGGGTTCTCTAGGCTTCTTTTAATCAGTCTAAAAATTCATTCTGGCCAGGCTGTGGTGGCACACACCTGTAATCCTAGTGACTTGGGAGGCTGAGGCAGACAGATTTCAAGCTCAAGGCCAGTGTGGGCAACTTACTGAGACTCTGTCTCAAAATTAAAAGGGCTGGGGATGAAGCTGAAAGGCAGAGCACCCTTGGGTTCCATCTCCAGTACCTCAAAAAATAAAATACCTCCTGTAAACTAACAAAGTATACAGGCACTAATTAACTGTACTCTAATATTTTCTAGACCTTTTAAGGATTCAGGCCTGGAGGAAAACAGGTCTGGGGATTGAAAGCAAAGGCATTCATAGAGTTTTTAGATTTAAAGCTATGGTCTGTCTTTCCATTTCTGTCTCCTTTCTACCTATCCTTATTTTTTCTATCCAACCTCAGGAGCAGCCACTGCTAAGAGCAGAGAGAATTCTAGGACAAGGAGAGAGCATGCCCCAAAGCTCTGGGAGGACAGAGTATGACCCAGCAGAAACAGGAACAGCAATGGGAAGCTGGAGAAAATAGGAGGCATTTTATAGGTCTCAAAGACCATGTGATTCAGTTGGATTTCATTAGAAATAAACTATTGAAGATGATTCATAAAGGCAGGGTCCTGATCACAGTTGATTTGTTAAGATTAATTTGGCTTCTGCATAGGATGGAGGAAGAATGGAGGCAAGGGGTGAGTACATCAGCCAGGATAGCCATGATTTCACCTAGGTTGTGGTGAAGAATGTGGAACCACTAGGAGAAGCAGCTGGCTGTGTGAGCAAGTGTGTGTGTTTGTGTGTACCTTAAACTGGTTAAACAGATTCCTATGGAGTAATTTTGTAAGGAAGATCACCTGTAGATGATTCCAGACATGTTCAATTCAATTCTCCAAAAGGCTAGCACTACCCTGATTGACCACATCATGATCAAGATGGGAGAAAGAAGACATTGAAGAAAATACAGAAGTCCCCCTTATCTATGAGGGATGTGTTCCAGAATCTCCAGTGCATGCCTCCGATAAAAGAAAAATTCTGAAATGTCCTAAATTTAATTGCAAGGACCTGATAATGGAGAGGAGGAGAGTTGGAAGAGGTTAACCAGTAACCAAGCTACAGGCTAAGAACAAAAGACCATTTCACCTTCTTGAATGTATGTTAAAATCTTAATTCAAATCCCATCAACCCCCATCTAATCCTGCTTACAACCCCAACCAATCCAGAAGCAACAATTACCTCTACTAATGGAAGGCTCTCCTCCTATCTCAAAGGTTTCCTTTCATATAACCAGGCCCCTCTTAAATCAATGGAGGATCAATTTATGCCTTCCTTCCCCAAATTTTCATTATTTAAAAAATTGCTAACTTAAGTCTTTGTTGGGAACATCTAGTGTTTCTAGATGTTTAAAAGCGCACAACACATGGGAAAAGTAGAGAGCTAAAGCCCTTTAAGTATGTTTTGTTACTACATAGGAATGTTTGCCATTTAGGGGAATGGAATTGTTGAACTTGATGTC